CTTGACATATGCTATGTACAGAACACTAACCAATGAAAAGTATAGGGTGAGTGGATGTGTGTTATGGGGGAGAGGGTCATTTTCGAAAGACAATACCTGTACAGGAACCTCTCAATTTACGCGATAATTATGTTCCTGAAAATAGTTATGTAAATAAAGAACACATATCAAACAATGTAAATACTGTAGTGGAGATTAAGAGGTTTCGTGATTAATAAGACAGTACAGTACTCAATATAATACCAGTAAAAAATTACAGTATACCATACACATACCAGGAAATATAAAAAACAATGGGCCTTTGCTAGTATCAAAACCATGCTGGCAGGAACATTTTTGTGAGCTTGGAGTTCAATCCATGTGCTCAATATTTATTTCATTCTCTCCATAATCGAGCCTCAGGAATACGACGTCTTAGATGCACTGATTATGTTCCATGCTTGGCAATTCCCTGAATCTATACACGATCACAAATAGTCCGTAAAGTAGATTCACCGAGTTCAAGGGCACGCTTAATATCAGCTGTTTGTTTACCTCTCTCTCATACGTTTGAGCACATCCATCTTAACCCTTTCACCGCGTGGCTCAATTTTATTCACATTTTTATTTTTGTCCTTCACCGCGTAAATCGACTTTATCCACATTCATAAAAAAAAATTTTTAATGTGTAACTCGACTACAGTCCTTCAGGGTTTGAATTATGCGCCAGCCCAGTATATGCTGCCACCTATTTGCGACTGGGGCAAGCTGAAGCTCCCGCCATTAAAACACTAGGAGACAACATTGCTGCTCTGTCTTTCGCCCAGTTCCCATTTTTATGACTAATAACTGTTTATATTATACAAATATAATGTTAGTATTTATTCTATAGATTCAATACTAACACTTAGAGTGTGATAATCATTAAATTAGAAGGGAAATGAATGAGGTAATTTGGGAAGTGAAATTATTTCTTGCATATGCCAGTTTGGAAAATTATGTGACATTATTTATTCGTTTTTTTTGTTTTTTTTTTAAGAGAATAATGGTATATTTTAAAAGTTTAAGAGTGTGCCATATGAAATATGTGTTACAATGAGGTAGTACAGAATGAAAAGAGGAGAAAGGAAACATAATATAAGAGGAAATAGAGCAACACAGATAACCAAAGAACCAAACATGGCATACAGTAATGAGACGGGTTTTCCGATACTTCATGATTTTCTTTGCCTTTCAGAAATGTCTGGAATACGTGAGTGAGTAAGGCATGTAAAATGTGAAAGGAAAATCAAGTTTTTATGGATATACAGCTTGCGCATCAGCTGATAGGCTAGTCCGCCAATACAGTAATCGGTTCTTGCCTTACATTCGTTCCCATTGGAGTAAATATCAAGAAGGTTGTGCTCTTTAATATTTTTGCAAGTTTTATATTAAAATTATTAGTCATTTTAACATTTATTTTACATAATTGATAATATATGCAGTACAGGGAACTAGTTTATGGTGAGCTCATCAGCCACCTCACTCACCCACCAAAGCGTGGAGGAAACAACTTGCTTGTGGGTCTCTTGAACACAGAGTATTTTTAAGTTTTTACATTACAATTATTGGTCATTCTGAAATTTATTTAACATATTGATAATATATAGCGCAGTGCAGTGTTGATTTAAATAAAATAATCTTTAATTACAGCTAGTGAACTTAAAATTTTAGTGGTGAAATTACTGTATTGAATCCAGCATGGGTCCAAAGAAATCTAGAAAGGCAATTTCAAATCAAGTGAAACAGGAAATTATTAAGAAACATGAAGAAGACATTAGAACAAATGTATTAAGTAAAGAATATGGCATGTCGGCATCAACTGTGTCTACAATTCTTGCGCAGAAAGAAAAATTTAAAGAAGTGAAAGTGAGAGATAAATCTACCAGAGTGTTTAAAGGTAGAGCATTAATTGCAGAAACAGAGATGTTACTTCTCATTTGGATTAAAGAAAAACAAATGAAAGGAGATTCAATTTCTACTGATAATATGTGTGAAAAAGCCAGGGAAAAAACAAACATTTGAAGGAAGATCAACCTAGTTCTTCTGAAACTGACTATGAAGAGTTTAGGGCCAGTAAGGGCTGGTTCGATAAATTTAAGAAAAGAAGTGACATTTTTAGTGTTGTTAGGCATGGTGCAGCTGCCAGTGCAGATAAAGAAGGAGCAGCAAAGTTTGCAGTGGAGTTCAAGGAACTGATGGATGAAGAGAATTATTTTCCACAGCAAGTGTTCAATGTGGATGAAACCAGGCTGTTCTGGAAGAAAATGCCCAAAAGAACATTAATCACCAAAGATGAAGCCTCTTTACAGGGGCATAAACCCATGAAGGACCGTCTCACTCTATTGCTTGGTGCCAATGTTTCAGGGGATTTCCGACTGAAGCCTATGCTTGTCTACCACTCTGAAAACCCCAGGGTGTTCAAGCAACAAAAGGTGGTAAGAGGACAACTTGGAGTTTATTGGAAGTCCAACCGTAAGACATGGGTAACGAGACAAGCTCTTTGATGAAGGGGCTGTTGAGGCTCTTCTCCTTCTGGATAATGCCCCTGGTCATGACCCTGAACTTGCCAGCACTTTGGAGGCTCGATTTGACTTTGTCAAAGTGTTGTTTTTGCCTCTCAACACTACATCAATTATGCAGCCAATGGACCAAAATGTAATCAGCAACTTCAAGAAGCTGTACATGAAGAAAATGTTCAGAAGGTGTCATCAGGCAACTACCACTGATCCTGATCTAACACTGACACAGTTCTGGAAGATGCAATACAACATCCTGGAGGCTGTAAAATTGATCGTGTCATCATGGCAAGAAGTCTCCATTCAATCCATGATTTTGAGGGATTTGAGGAAGAAGCGGAGTTGGACAAGGAGATTGTGTCCATTGGTCAGTCAATGGGACTCAAAGTGGAGGAGGATGATGTTGAAGAGCTTGTGATGTCTCATGAGCAGGAACTTACTCCTGAAGACTTGAAACAACTGGATGAGATGTTAGAAACAGACAGTGGTGAGGAGGAAAGGGAAAGTGATGACCATATGTCTTCTTCAGAATTAAAAGATGTTTTTCACCACTGGGAGATGTTCAGGAAACTGGCTTCAAGGCACCCAGATGTGGAAACAAAAGAACCGATTTTGTGTACTGTTGAGGACAAAGTGGTCTCCTTCAAGCACCAGATAATGATCAGGAGGAGAAATGCCCCACAACCAAAAATTTACAGTTTCTTCTCTAAAAGGCAGCGGGAGAAAGATGCTTCCCATCAGCCTTCAAACTTCAAAAAGAAGAGAGGATTTTCCTGTTGGAGAATCTGTCAGTCCAGAGGTCCCTGACATTATTATGGAAGGTGACTCGCCTTCCAAGAAGCAGTAAAATGCTTCTCCTCCACCCCCACTTCCTTCTCTTCTCCCTTCTCCTCCTCCACCCCCTACTTCAAAATCACATCAGCATCATCAACCAGGAGCCTTCTACATACACACCTCAAAATAAGTGTACTTTACTGCATTTTTTTTTACTTTGTATGTAATAATAATAATAATAATAATAATAATAATAATAATAATAATAATAATAATAATAATAAAAATAATAAAAATAATAAAAATAATAATTCATAGTAAATAAAATTTATAATAAAAAATTAAAAATTAAATAATAATGATAATAATAATAACAACACAAATAAAAATAACAAGAAAGAAACATAAAGAAAAGAAAAAGAAAAAATCTGTAGTGAGAAACGATATACAGTATATAAGTTGTGTTGTCAAAGTAAAAGAAACAATTGAGTACCTGCAATTGTGTGTAAATGAGGCAGAAAGTCAGATCAGCAACCTGGGACTTGGTCACAATTTTCGTGATGTCATACGGCAGCAGGGTCTACCATTAGACAATACATTATGCTTCCAATATCTTCCCAGGAGGTAAATGTACTACTGTATTGTTCTGAAAGCACTGTCACCAAGACTTTCGTTGGTTTTATCCTCAATATCCCAGTGTAACATTAACATCTTTATGCCAAGCTCTCATAAAGAAAGAAGTGCAAGTACTGAACCACAATAATTAAGGTAAATTAATTTCTAAATACTGAACTGAACAATATTCAGTACCATATAAGGTGTGTGTGTGTGTGTGTTTTCGGTGATGGGAAATGGTGGAGAAACGAAACCCTCCCAATACAAAGAGGGCTTGGACAAATTAGTCTAGTACTGTACTGTACTGTAAGGTTTTACTGTATTCCATAATTAAACCTCTCTACATGTATTATTAAATACACAAACTACAGTAAAGTACCACTAAATTATTCAGTATGTAAAGTTCCAATAATAAATGCAAACATCGTATTCAAAGTTTAACAACACAAGAGCTCAGATAATTGTGAGTACAGTACTTGTAACAATTAAGCATACCTTTGTCATAAAACTGCACGTCAAAAATTACAGTGATCAAATTTGAGGAGTTACCTAACCTAGGTAGTAATTGCATATCACCTCACACAAACTGCACTTCCCCTGAGCATTGCAAGATCAAAAATGAGCAAGCTGAAGCAGTGAGATAACAGGTTACTTAGCTGTTGTATGCTCAAAGAGAAATATGGCATTAAAAATGAAAGCAAATACAGGTATTTTACAGGTTCGAGGAAGATCACTACAAGGTTGACAGTGATGTACAAAGCATTTTACCATTTCATTCATTGCTAAATGTATATCCTGAGGAGCAACATTCATAAGATATCGTCAGCCATGTTGGGGCTTGGTTATGTGCAAGCAGCAGCAGTTAATAAATGTACAAAATATTTGGTGATATCATAACAATTTTCATTCAGCAGCAGTATAGTGTACATTAAGATGGTTAACTAAGTAGAGTACTTTATAAATTCTAAAATTAATGTAAAACAATAGGTCCCAATAGAAATAAAAAGGTATAAATTTAGGCAAAACTAGTTGAAAATTGCATAATACATCACCATTAAGAAATAGCACCACTACCTTTTCAGAATCTTGTGATTTCCTGCGCTCTCTCCCTTGATCACTTTCAATATATTGAGAAGGCATAGTAGGTGAGAAGCCTTCATTGTCATCAATTAAGGCAGACTCATCCACATCCGACTGGTTTTCACTGCCTTGATCATAACTTTTGTATTGTGGAGACACAGGATCAACACCTGGGCCCCCATGAAAGGTTTTTTCTTCTGGTGGAGTTGTCCTTGATAAATAAGAGAGAGATTTATCTTCAAGGATGGACCCAATCTCATCATGGCTAATAAATGTTGACTTTCGAACATTGTTGAGTGACTTGGGAGGATAATTTGATCGAGGTCTTCTACCTACTCCTTCACTGAAGGTGCTTATTTTCAGAGATTGGTTGTGTTGAGAATAATTTGAGAAATTAAAGACATCTTTTTGCTTTGTTTTCTGTAACACGTGTTCTCCCTCACTCCTAATACATGAAGCAGCACTTTCACTACCTTGTTTCTTGTACTCAATAGTAGTATGCAAATCTCCTGTTCCTTGAATGTTTTTGTTTTCTTTTGACAACTGGGATGACATTACATTATGGATACTTAACTCTTTTAGAATCTCGCTATATAGATCTCTTGGCAAACTATTTGGGTTATCTGTTTCCATCTGTTTCTGTCTTTGATCTTTCTCCATTGAATAAGGAGGGGCATTGGCTAAATGACACAAACTGGTTGGCTTATCATATTTTTGTGCACAACTTCCCGGACTAATCAATGTTTTGGATAATACTTCCTGTTTTGTAGAAGCCTCAGCCTTGACAAAGGTCTTCTGTGATTTGATTGTGGCATGTGACTTTGTTTTCTGTAAGGTGGATGGTAATGGTGACTCAGGATTTAAAACCTGTCTGGAAGGTGACTTATGTTTTTTAACATAGGGGGATGGTGACTTGGGACTTACAGAACGTGTAGATGGTGACTTGGGACTTACAGAACGTGTAGACGGTGACTTAGGACTTATGGAGCCGGGAGATGGTGACTTGGGGCTTGTAGAATGTGCAGATGGTGACTTGGGGTAAGCAACCATTCCTCCTAATGCAAATGCTATTGAAGGATCTTGAAAGCTAATATCCAATAACTTTAGCTCATCAACTTTCACACTTTCAGACTTACTTCTGGAATGGCCTGGTTTGTTTGAGGTATTTGTGCGTGGTGCAAATGAAGATAGTCTAAAACCAGGTTCCATTATAGATGGAGTATCAGGAGGGGTCAATATACAGCGGGTCTGAACACCAGGTGAGCGTGGCCGGGAAGAAATAGTCACAACCTCTGTCTGTTTTGATTGAAGCGGCACTGATGGCTGCACAGACAACTGCGATTTTCGAGGAGGTTTTTTTGGTGGAATTTTGGGATCATGAGTAACATTAGGCTTGGGCATGTGCCCCAATATTTTTGAATTACTAGCCAATAAGCGATTCAGTGAAGTATCGTCATCCCTTTGAGAACCTTCTGAAAGGTGATTTGTATCATCAAAAATATCTGCATCAAGTTGCATTTCTTTATCAAGATCCATTGTACTTTGATAACTCTTGCGTATGTACTGCTTGTTGTCGTGGTGTGCTATATCCAATTCTGTCACCCACGTAACTCCTTTGGGCTGGAAAACCACATGTTCCATCAGAATTACCTTGTGCTGATCATCATTCATGGTCTTTCCAAAACTTTATGAGGAATATATCATTCTGGTAAGTAACTAAAGATCAGCAATCTTTCCTGTAATTAAAACTAAATCAAGGTGTTAATACATATGGATCCAACTTCAAAAATATAAATATGCCAATGCATATTTGAAGAACTTTTAAAAGTGTCTTCAAAATGTTCGTATTTATTTCAAAACTTATTTTTTTTCTATGTAAGAGCACAAGTTAGAGTTTCACCATTAAGAGTAGTGAGCAGCAAGTGGTATCAAACTTAACAAGCAGAGGTAGAGAGCGAGGGTAAGGGGCACCAGTGTAAGACTGTTGTCTCTATCTCATCTTGGCCAAGGCAAGAGTCTCCCCTGGGGACCATGGCTGCTCAGGATGTAGACAATAATGCCGCACAGCCTCCTGGCCTCCTCCACACACCAACTCCCCCAACACACTACACTACTACAAATCACTGTGTGAAAAGTTTCATTCCACCTTGTTAAATGTGTGAAGAGCACTAACTACCTTTACAGACACAGTGGACTACAGATCACTTGTGATAGTACACAGGATATTACTTCCTCTCTAGATTGTCTCCCTACTTCCAAAACTTTTCACTTAATTTCTACTTCATTTCTTCTCTTTTTTTCTCAACATACTAATATGGGTAATACCAATATAATTACACATGCATATTAACTCATTTATTACAATCATCCACAAACCAATCCCCAAGGTTTAGTTTACTGTAAATTAATATTTTAATGCGAGGTGAACAAAACATTAAGGAATATACCGTTCACCAGCTCCTCTCTGAAAACTGTAGCCACACCTTCAGGAAATGAAAAACCACAAAAGAAGGCTTTTAAAAATATTTGTTTTCTTATTTATAGTGATAAATAAAGCCACAAAATAAATTATAAATGACAAAAGTGTCCTATATTTTGTATTTTTTCATACAATGGTCACTAAATTTGAGGCAAAAATGGTAGAGTTAGATAAAAATGTAAGATAAAAAGAGTCCTTAACTTGTTCTCTAAACACTTTACTAAAAGTGAACTCACTAACACCTCCAAATTTCCATTCATGAAAAAAATTAAATCCTACATAAAAATAAATTAGACTTTTCAGTGAACAACTTTTACAAGCTTGCCTGTACACTGACCCATCCTTACACTAGTTTGTGCTGCAATCAGAGTACTGTATAATCCACCTTCGACAACTGATACTAACATACAGTACTGTATACCCATACCTTCCCCCATCTCAGGTTTGACCAGCGCATTAAACAAGGTTGTTAGCATAGCAGCTCTGAATCAGTGATCACTGAAGATAGTTTGTGTGTTCAACAGTAACATATACACTCATCTTAGTATGAACCATATTTATCCAGGAATTACATAATTCGGTAAATGTTTACAGAACCGTCAGGAGTAAATTTATTTAATTAATTTACTAACTCATGCCCACAGGTTTCATGTCTAATATCAAAGACATTTTCAAGTTTTCAGACCCAGAAAATCAAATTCTTGTACAGTAATGGATATTTTTCAAAATTATAAATGACAAACATAAGCTCATGCAAAAAACACCCAAGATTTGTCCAAGTGGGTGATAATATCATTTGAGGTCTAACAAGATGCCTGAGAATAAAAACATTTTAAAATCTTAAGTTACCATCATTATGGGTTCGATAAGTGTTAAAAAAAATTACCTAAATAAAGAAACATTTACATACATTAATAAATCATACTAATTTATTCATTACTTTGCATAGAAATACCCCAGTGAGTTCTATTGAAACATCTCTTGCAACCATCATAGCAACAATCATATAAATGTTTCAACTAGACTCATTGGCTACAACTGCATCAGTTATTGTCATATTTTTGTAGAGGGAACCATATAGTACAAATCCTCCGGACCAATCAATGTTCAAACTACAGATATTTTCAGATTATATATATATGTGTCAATCTTTCCGATGGATCCAGATTGAGATCTGAGATGTCCTAACTTTTTTGTTCTTGATGTTGTTGTTAGCCCTTATACGATGGGGAACTTTTAGTGTTGACTACCTGCTCTTATGTAGAAAAGATGAGGGTTTTAATAAATGGGTAAAAATTTTAAACAAAATTATGAAAAGGTTAAGTTTTGCTTGCTGAATTCAATAGTGTAGTCAGATTTCCTGTGTGAACAATGGGAGGGAAGATACTGTGCATGTGACCAGGTGGCAGGCAGAGGTATTTCCACGCACTCCAGCTTTGAACCCATGTCTATTATTGATTCATTATCATAAGCTCAAATGATCAGCCTTTTATGGTGTAAAATTTATCATAAATAATGTAACATCTTCAATAATGAAAAAATACAACAAAGAATTTGTAATTTGGCCTGAGATAAAAGGTTAAGCTGTATTGGAAGGTATCACTCTCCTGACCCCTTCATCCCCTCTCCCCCTCCCATGAAATTTCAAGTTAATGGAAGTTTTCACTAAAACAAACCATTTACAGTATTATTGTGAGATATAAAATAAGGTTCTGTATCAAGATGAAATAATCTAATGTTTTTTATTTTATAATAATGGAGGCTGAAACTTGATAGAGCTGGACTTAAGGGAAATGTAAATTTGAGTCTTGACAATGCTGTCAATACCTGTCCTTGTCCATATACTTAACTTTCAAAACACAGTACTGTAATTATAAAGAACAGATTTATGGGCATGGGGCATCAACCTAATAAAAGCAAAAGCAAACATTTTTTTTTTTATGGTGGTATTATTTTGCGGTCAAAATTATCGCCACTACAGTAGTTCAGTCTCCTGCACCACAAACACCTTGAAAACGTGTTGGTGATGGACTCCTACCCAGTACACATAGAGAAACACTTCTACCTCATTTTCCTCCTGAAGCTTACACACGAGCTATCATTTCCCAATTTACTCAGTCCTTCTACCTCACATTCTGATTCCCATAATATTTTACTATTTTTTCTGGATGTCAAGGCAACACAACACTACTGCATTGAAGGGTCTTTCCATGTGATGCGTCAATGGAATTGCCAGATACTTCCTTCATGATGTAGAGGGACCAACATAGGGCAAAAGTTGCCACAAATCACAATAAGACACTCAGGCAGAAGTCAAGTGCCAAACTTAAAAATTATGGCATGGAATAATCCTGATTACATAGTTTACAGTAGATGACCACCATCTTTGCAGAAGGTGCTTATCATCTATTTATGATCACTGTCATTTAAAAGTTAAATATTACAGCATGCTCTTAAAATTCACATGGGTTTGGGTCTCAAAATGGCCACGAATAGCTAAATCTGCAAATATCATTTGCTGGTGGGGGTTGGGGGGGGTTACATTTTTACTTGTGCGCACAGAAATGTATATTCCCTTTACGTGTTTGCCCTTAGGACAATTATTTCTTTTACCTGTATTATATATGTGTATGTGCACGCATGCACGCACGCACGTGCACACACACACACACATACATACAAATAAATAGTAATGGGAAAATACTCTCACAAATAATCAGAAACAAAAAAATGTATCGAAATGTAGAAAAAATGTGAGTCTACCCTCAAGTCAACTCCGTGCCTTGTTATTAAAGTTGAGTTGCCTTACGGCAATTTTTTTTTTCGTAAAAATTACTGTCTCTAGAATGAATGGCATCTGAGCACCAGCTGAGCTGATACGTAGATCAAATCTACATAATTTCTTTCGTAGCCATCTAGCCAACCCAACATGAAAGATGGTAGTACTTGCGGTGTAATGCTGTATAGTTTTTTCACAATATGTATGTAGGATGGTGTGTGCATGTAACCGAGTAAAAATAAATGAAGAAAGTTATGTATATCTACCCAAAAATACGAGTTGAAAATACCATCACACCTCACAGCCTGGCCCATTAGCACGGTAGCTACAATGATGAGCTAACCTAGATACAATGCCATGATTAATCACTGTTCAGCACTATTCTATCAGTTATCACAATTAATAACAGTAAATCCAGTGAAATACAGTAAAACCTTGCTAAGGTGGACCCCTCTTAAGCCGAACAAAATTATTTGCAGAAAAAAAAAAATAATAATAATTTGTTGTACAGTGAATAAAAGGCTAGAAAATAGGTGCTGCTTCCTCGCAAATATGTGTAGAATATGGAATTTCAAAGTACTCAGATTCAGAGTGACTGCAAGACTCTTGCAGTCAGATGCATGTCCAGCTGGATCTGCTTTCCATTTTTGGGGGTAAGTGTACAGTTCTTTGTGTACATTACTTTTATTTACCGGTAATTAATTTTGATTAAAAACATGTATTTCATTCATAAAAATTGGTTACATTAGTGTTGTACTTGTTTTGTTGTTTAAAACAGTCTTTTTTGTTTTTGCTCTAAGGCGGACAACCTCTTATCCCGGACACCCCTCTCCCCTCAATTAGTCCACCTTAGCGAGGTTTTACTGACAGGAAGCGAGGAGAGCCAACAGCAGACGACGCGCTAAATAAAAAATACAGTCACTCACTTCCCTGACTGCTACCGTTGCCAAGCGTACGTATGGGAGAAAAACATATTTTGTAGTCAACTATGAAAATGGTAAGGGCTCAGTGATAATTATATTATATAAGCCATTTATTTTCCTACGACAACATAATAAGAAACCTTGTATCATTACTAGAGTAAATGAATTAATATTTCCACAAACAATTGACAACTCTGTTATAAAAAAATAGATTAACACTCACCATTCCATGCTGGCTTTTTGTGTAGAGCCCATTTTCTTCACTCCCTTGCCACTGACGAATATCATGATGATGATGGTGATGAATGATGACGATGATGATGGCAGGGGAGTTACAAGTTCTCCTCATCTACTTCGGAAGTGGAGGGAGAGGAGAGCGGAGGGAGGTCAGAGCTGGGAGAAGCAGGAGGAGGGTTGTCCATATCGGAATCAGAGTCAG